AAACTAGATTCACCTGCAATTATGAAATTAAGGAAAACTGTGAGGAGACAAATGCCTCATTAACCGTTGGTACCTTTATTGTATACTTTAATTTAAGTCTGCTGTGGCTTTCCAGCGCATTGCAGCTGCATTGAAGTTAATAAAATAAAATTAAAATTGTAATCAATTATAAAAATTTCAAATTGCATTGGAAGGAATTTTGTACAAGGCCAAGTTTGGACAGTATCATGTATATTAGTTGTATCTGAAAACAATTGAAATAATATAATAAATTTCAAAGATTTAAAGTACAAGTTCTTCGTATGAAACACTGCATAACTGCTTAGACATATCTTTACATTATGTTCCCATGTTATCTATTCTCTCTTTCTCCTCTTCTTAATATTATTTTGAGGTAATAATGACTTTTAAGACGTAGGGTAGACATAGACCCAAGGGTCTCTTCTTGTGTATTGAGGAATAAGAGTACAATTAGGTCGGCAAATAAAAACAGCTTGAAAAGAAGGAAGTGCAACTCAATTTAATATGGATATTTAAAAAGCTTTATGACCTACTTTTGGTACTTTTTTTTTCGTTTTCTAAATTTATTAAAACTGCTCGATCACCACATAATCAATCACTTGCTTTTAATATGTTCAGCTTTTTAACTACGTCTTCCTTTCCTTCAAGGCTCTTCTTAAATCTTTCAAAAATCCTTTCCAAAATATATTTAAAAAATATACTATATCAAATTTTATTATCAGTGCAATAAGAAGCACAACGATAATTTTAAATGCACAGTCATTTTTATGTCCGTCATTCTTACCAGGATTAATGTTTGTCCTCCGATTGCTGAAAAACAAAATTTTCGCTATATGTCAAGCATTTTATGGCCTCTGTAAATAAAAGTGAGTTACGTCTCCTAAATGATATTTAACGATATTATATCTAAGACCATTATATGACGCATTTTAATATTCTTGTAAAATAAAACTGGAAGACAATATTTGAACATTGTCATTAAACGGATTCTAATACTTGTAGAGTCTCACGATCTTGGGAAGTATACACTAAATCGAGATTCCTGATGAATCTAAGCAATTTATTGCTATGTCCAGTAAGAAATAAAAGACCCTAAGGCACTCCCTGTGCTTACAAACCTGGCGAGCATTTATGGCATAACACAAAATTAATAAATTCAAATTAAAACTAAGCTCTTGTAAAATAGCCAAAGGCTACTCAGGAGTAGTTAACGTGCAAGTTGGGTCCAATCTATATCGGCGTGACAAGCACTATTGGCAAGAATAAAGCAACGCCGAAGAGTGATTGCTATTAAAGGATCTCAACTGATAACGTGGCCTTCAGTAGGCGGAACGAGCTCTGATTAAACAATCTAAAATTTTCCTTTAAATGCTATATCTTTCTACGTCACTGGAATACGCGACAACTGTAAATTAACACTCTGGCAGGAAAATGAAAAGGGAGAGTGACAGTAAAGATACTGAAGATAAAATAAATCTAGAATATAAATAAAACGTACACTTTACACTTTTCTTAAACTGGATTATTTAGAGCACGACTTCAGGAATATTTCAAGTAATGTACGATTTTGAGAAATAATTTAAGTTACACTTTGCGAAACAGTGCTCTTTGTTCAAGACAAATTAACTTATATTAACACTGTGCACGGGAAAAACAACGGAACAACTATAAAAGCTGCCTGTTTACTGGTATTTCAACGAGGTTCGCTCTATCAGCATTCCGTTCTTAGATTGCAGTATGCCAAAACACAATAGGGCTATTTACCTAAAGGAGGCACACTGATGTGGGGAATATTCTAAACAAAAGGCTCGCATTCACGTTACACACGGGGAAAGCTACGAAATCAGTCCTATAGCCAGCTCAACTCCCAGGATTTGAGCCACGATCAAACTGCCAGTATTCGGCTATTTTATCTTTCAGTCACTAAAGTGCTTACCTTTTCTTTCTTTATATTCTTAAATAATGTTCCAAACTGGAAGAATACTTTTATTTTGTGTCACCATGGCGCTTGACTTCATATCCCTTACTCGAAATTATGATTTATACTAAGCATTTACTAGTTTTCATGCTACGACAATACCTCTGCTTGAAAAATTCTGAAAAATTCTACGTTGAATTAGGGTAAAAGGAAACTTCATGTAGTGGGAGCAGTTGATGAGAGCTTTATCAGAGCTTTCAGAGTACTGTTTCTAAAGAAGCAGATTCGTTTAAGATGGGGGATGATTACCATGAATTCCTTGTTCTAGTTGGATGTTAATTACTTTTGTGGAGTCACATCATTAGATGACTTGGAGTTCTTTCCACCACTGTAAGTAGGTAAGACGACTAAACACTGATAGTTCTTCTACGGTTCAGTTGCAGTCGCTTGGTACGGCTGCTCTAGGTTCGTAGCCTGATTAGGAGACATTTTCGTTTAGCTTATTTTCCTTAAAATGACCGAAATAAAATCCTCGCTAAGGCAAATAGCAGCGCATATTTTACCCAAATCAATTAACCAATGAAGCAAGTAAATAATTATCTCTATACATAAATAGAGATAATTATCTACTTTTTTTAACTAAATAATTATTTATCTATATACAGACAGAGATACAGAGAGAGAGTTTTTAAATTAAAACTAAACAAGCTAAAAACATAATAAATAGTTGAAATACACTCAAATTAAAAAAATCAATGAAAGTTAGTGAAATATGTTACATTAACTAGTACTGAATTTGAAAAGTAATTTGTAAAAAAAATAAAAATACGCAATAATAAGTAAAAAAGCAGTATTAGCATTGTCGTACCCAAAATGTTGTGAAATGTTATGTTATGTTCCAAAATGTTATGTTCCTGTTTGTTTCAAATTAGATGAGGCTCTGAAGTTAATTATTTAAAATTATTTGTATTTCTGAAAATTAAAAACGCCTCCCCTATGTAAAAAATTTTCCAAAACAGAGTAAAACAATTGTAATTTCTCAAAAAGAAGAAAAAAAAATAATTCGTAAGTCATGCAAATAAATTCAAAAAGTGGCTAAACAACCCACAGAAATATTATGCATGAAATCTTGTAAACAAGTACACAAAAATGTTTTGATATTGTAAGGAGCTGAACGAACTTCTCCGACCTGATAAGGAGAGATTGATAAATTATCTTTCATTTAGATATCCCAACTCCATCCTGTGGAAGTGCATGTAGCTTATTTTTAAATATTATTTCTCGCTTATAAACTCTTTCTGACTGCACAGGAAAAGAACGATCTTATGCATTCTTTTCTCATATCTTTCCCATACGATTCTAGCGTCTTCTCTACGCTTTAAGTGATATCTAAACATTCTATAATTAATGTATGGAGTAATAATTACAATAGCTAGAAGGATGAAAACTTTCCACTTTCTAAAATGATTATTTAGGGTTTCTTACTTTTTTTATTTCGCCTTATGTTTTGCATTTAACTTCCATTCCAAGCTATGAGAATTTGAGCCCACTCTTTACACTGTAGTCTTGGTGATAAATGCATTAATATATTTTCTTAATTCTGTGTATTGTATTCAAGCTGAATGCAGCAGCAGTAACAAAACCAAAATTAAAGCATTTTAATCTAATACTCTTATCAGTCTTTTTCCTTGGGCGTTAAATTTAAGAAATCTATTATTATTATTTTTTTTTAATTTATGTCTCTCTATGTATCGCAGAACCGCGCAGGAATTTAATTAAGTGAAATAAAATGTATTAAAAAATTAAAAGTAGAAATGCTAGCTAGCTTTAAATAGCTTTTTCTCAGAAAATCAATTCGATTGCACGATTTAATTTATTTTCTGATTCGTTTCTAACTTAAGTTAAATGACCATCGATTTAGAATTTCTGTATTTAATGATACGGATGCACGAAACTGCCTTCGCTTTGAGCTCTGTTGCGCGTGCTAAGTGGAAAACATTTGAAATGTGAATTAAATTATTAATGTAATTGGAGAGCAATCACAAGGAAATATCGCAAATAGCAAACTGAAAAATCTAAACAGTCTAAAGAAAAAGTCTGATCTCTCAATTTTAGGTTCCGCTTTGAAAATGTTTCATAATAGCACTATGCGCAGTTACAAATAATCTTAATTTTCTCTCCCTGTGTACGAAAATTTAACGTTTTTGTGACCTTCTTTGGGCCGAAGAAGCCGTTACCATAAATGTGCATGAAAGATCTTTCGAACTTTTTCAGATTCATGAAGTAAATCAGTGAAATCATACGAAATGAAACATACATTTAGAGAAAGGATCAGCATACTCTAAAAGCATAAATTACACACATAAACACATATATTACGCATGAATATCCTTACATTATGTAGATTAAGCTGCATACATAAGTATACAAATTACGCACATGGAACTTCATATATAGCATTATATATCTCGTTGTAACGAAAGTTTTCCGCCATAAAACGTTCTTTAAAAACCCTGAAAACCATACCCTTAGTGCGGGTAGTAATCACAACCCAAATTTATAATTTTCTGACAACGTTTTGATAGTTTTTCAAAGCCTTCGGGCCAGTTGGCAAAATGTTAGCATCTGTCCGTTAAAATGAAAAAGTGCTAGGCAGATGATCTCTTCAGAACTAAAGTCAGTATGGAAAAGAAAAAGAAAATGCTTATCTTTAATTCGAATAATGTCAGAGAGAAAATATTTGTAAAATTTCCAGCGGACTTGTTAATGAATATTTGACTTCTGTAAATTAATTATAGATTCATTTTGTAAGATGTTGAGTGATTATGATTTAATTTTGTGATTGTAGATGGAATTATTCCACGGTTGGTGTTTAATTTTTTTTTCCATAATTCCACTAATAAAAATATTTCTTGAAATACCTGTAGATATGAAATTTGTTGAATGTCTTGAAGATAATTTATTGCTGAGATTTTTACTTATAAAGCTGTATTATGAAGAATATTTTTATGTATTTTCTGTAGATATGAAAACTAACTAAATATTTTATGCTGATATTTAGGAATGAATACGGAAGAGATGAATGCCGAGGGTCGAATAATTACTTAATGAAATTTACGTGTGGTCGACAACAGAGGGCGCCACGAACTAGAGTTTTGAGCATTCACAGGCAAGGGCTGGAAATTCAACACGCAAGAAAACAGGTAAGGTGCAAAATGAAAATAATTTTGTAAGATCTGAATTTAAAAAGAAAGAAAGAATTTATCTCATCTTAAATACTTTAAATACAAATTAAAGATGTGCAACCAGAAGTTAGCTGATATTTCTAGTGATAACCACAACCTCTACTCGATCGTAGTTTACCGATAAATTATAAACTGAACTAAATTATAAAAAATTTTTATCTGGTAGTTGAAAAGATGACTGAATAAATATAAACTCTGTGTGTTTGATTTTCAGTTAAGTATCACAAATGGGAAAAAGTTAAGAGCATTAAATAATCACGAAGATGAACTTGTTAAGTAATAATTTTTATCTTACAATGACATTAAAAGCTGTACTTCATTAAGGGTGAATATATTAGGTGTGATAAGGCGTTGTATTGTTTAATTGTTTTCAAGTTTTTCGCTGTTAAATAGAGAAGAATCGAAACCGGTCGATGTAGAACCAGACTTCCACCTAAATGAATCCGTAACTGTTGCGCATCTAATTACGAAACACAACGTCATTATTCCAATAACTATGTTTTCATTTTAAGTTAATTTAAAACTGAAGAATTAAGTTATTAGCTCAACAGCGGCCGACTAGTAAATTCCCTGAAATGGTGGTTCGGTCCGAGGTTCGAAGACCGAGAACGGGCTGGCTGAATGAGCGTTTTCGTAGCTTTACCCATGTGTAAAGAGTTAATACGACCCAGTTTCCCTTAGGTAGCCCTCCACGAAGGCATCTCTCCCTTCCGTATAGTGCTTTAAGGCTAGAACGCGTTCATAATCATAATGATTAAGTTACTTTGTAAATGTACTTCTTTTTCATTCCCCTTTATTCAGAAAGTTAAATTATTATCTTAAATTTGACACTGATTTGAAAATGTATGGTTATATAGCTTAAATTATGTTTTTTGCCTAAAGAAAATGACAAAATGAATATTTAGATGTCTCACCCGCGTATTGTGAAAGGGAACTTCGAACTACCTGAGGCGTCCCACATTTGAGTACACACCCACATACACAAATATACCATCACAATAATAGATAAATCGAATTCAGAAACATTTATATTAAATTTTCAAGACCTTTCGACACTCTTTCAAGTACGCTTTCATAGTTTCGTAGTTGTAAGATTTGTACATATGTAAATAATTTTAGTGAAGCTATATGTGAAATTGCAGATTTTTTTTAGTCTGAAGGGGCTTTGTGCCTGAAGGACTATTGTTTTCGTTTTGCGATTTTACGTTGAATCACTATAATTCCTTCACTTTCAGCGGTTGCCACCAATATTATTGCGCTTATTAAAAATTAAATGATGAATTTGCATAAATGTAGGATGTTTTCTCTGCCCTTTGATAAACAACGCTACCGAAGCCATCCAATTTGATAACTTAACCTCCTACGAAAGGGGCATCTGGAGCCCCACATTTGAAATTTCGAATTTATTTTAATATCAGTCATAGTTTTAAAACTTTAAAGAATTTTATTGACCACTCAAGATTCAAGCGAACATGCAACGTTGTGAGAAAAACATTTTATCTCCAGCCATAACTGTGTATCGGAAATTTTAAAGATATGCTCCATTTAAAATTATTTTGCAATATGGCTGTTGAATTGAATTTTATGGTCTAAGTGCGAAGAAAGTGATATTTAATAAATAAAGTTAACACACAAAATGTTAAAAAATGCCCTTTTAGACGTAATTTAAAAAATGAATCCTTTCTTTTTTTTTTTCTTCATAATTTAACAGGAAATGTTTGAAAGATGTGCTGGAAAAATGCGATTACAGGTGCAAGCGTATTTAACATTGAGGTAAAGGGCTATCTCACTAATTTGGCGAGATATCGCCAAGCTGGTAAAGCGACTAACTTTTGTCGTCAAAAATTCGGAGGTTCGTCAAACTTAGCTACATTTTTTGGATCCCAGTATAACTGCCATTGGTACTGTAATTGGATAACGTAATTGATGTCTATATGTAAATGTAACCGTCTTTGGACTTTCTGTGCCTTCCAGGAATTTTGAGAAGTGGAAGGTACTAGAGATTTTTCGGCGGCCGGGAGGAAAACTGCATGAGAGTGTCTCAGTCGTTAGTTCAGATCTGAAATCTGAGTTTTGAGACATTCTTGAGAGCTTCCCTTTTTTAGATATCCTTCGGAATGCGTTGTGTTTAACGCTCTTAGTAGTTTGAAGTGTAATTGTTCATTGTGCTCTGTGGTACTGAGAAGAGCTGTATGAGTATTTTGGTGGAAAATTCTATAACTGTAGAGTGTTTCTTTTGGTAAAATAAATTGTATCAAACTCTCATCGGTTTTGTGTGCATTCAACCCATTACGAATCCGTACGTAAGCAACAATATAAATCAGACTCAGAATCTTGCACGCTAAGTATTTAAGACCTTTTTGAAAGCCTTCTATATCTTCTTTCTAACTTAGTTTCATGAATTTGGGCATATACAGGTACACACAAAAGTATCATCACATAAATAAATAAACTGGGCTCAAAATCTTGAAAATTAAAATTTCAATGTCATTTTGAAACTCATTCATGCACTGTTTCTTACTTTACGCATTTGCGTACACGCACACATTATTGCAGAAGTGTCATTATAGAAATAAATAAATCGGATTCAGAAACACGTACGTTTGCTAATTACATTTTGATGGATTTTAACGATATCTTTACCATAATAAATTTCAGCCCCAGTCAGAAGGTATTATAGGATTTATTAGATTATGGCAAAACACATTGGGGCTATTTGCCTAAAGGGAATCAGTTAAATGTCTTTACTTTACTCACTAGTGTTAATTATTAAGTAACTATGAGACAACTATGTGCTCCAACTCTGTACTAGGCGTAAAGACTAAACTCGTCAAAAGTATTCATGAAAGGAACATGGCAAAGCATTCAAGGATTACCTGCCTAAGGAAAAGGATGCCTTCGTGCAGGGCATAGTAACAGAAGCTAGCATGTAATTATGCCAGCAAGTGAAAAATCTCAGAAACTCTCTTATATAATCAGCCCGTTCACCGCTACTCAAGCTGGGTTGTGTGATTCATTTATGTGAATCATTCACATGAAACTCCTTCACATGAGACCTGTCGAACTATCAGCCGCCAAGGCGGTACAATGGTAAATTGCACTGCCTGACTAACAGGTGACAGGTGACAGTAGGGCCGGACACCCGGACGGCTTTCAAAGACTAATTAGGTATAGCACGGGACCCGCTCCATCTAGAGCATAACATGTTTACAACATAAAATACCTAGCGTTGCATTACCTACATGACAGGAGGGCATTGCATGGCGACATAACATAGCTCAGCATAGACATGACATGGCATAGTATTCGACGTGATATAGTATAGAATATAGTCATTGCATAGCGACATAACATATTTATAACATTAAATACACAACGTAATGTAACTTACACGACAGGTGGACATAGTATAGCGACATAACATAGTTAAGCATATATAAGGCATAGCGACATAACATATTGAGGTTACATATTTAAAACATACAATTCGCAGTGTGGTATGGCCTATGCGACAGGTGGACATTGCATGATGACATATCATAGCGTAGAGTAGACATAACATGACACAGCATTGCAACATGATATGACATAGCATAGCATAAGGATTACATATTTACAGCATTAAATACACAACGTAACTTAACTACATAAAAGGTGGATATAGCGTAGCGACATACCATAGACATAACATACATAGTATTGCGACAAAACATATTGACGTCACAGATTTACAACATATGCCTGATTAACAATGGGTCTGAAGTTGAATCCCAAAGAAGGTACGATGTTTGAAAATGTATAATGTATGCTCGGCAAGGGGCATTCCAAACTCATGGCGAGACAAATGTACGCTCGAGAGGTTAGTGGTAGGAGAAGAGGGGTGGGAGACACTGGCACCGCCTCCCTTCTCCGGCGAAATTGAAGCGGAAGCGGAAGATTAATAATTATCAAGCCCCGGCAATGCTTAATATATACTTACGGAAATGCGCAGGCACCGGGCTTGCTTCAACCTATACGTCGAACTACCAGTGTTCAGAGCTGTTATCTGTTTATCCGTCCGAAAGCTAATTTAAACAGCCAGAGGGAAGCATTAAAAAAACAATCATCTAAACCCTTCTGAAAAGGTGCATCTTTTGAAAAAGGAATCTGAATTTTAGATTTCTTTCAAATTCTTGTGAGGAAAAATATCAACTTATCTCGCTTTTATGATCAACTGAAATTACGCAACTATTTTAAATTAAAGTAATTCATTTATTTGCAACTTAAATCTAATAAACATATTGACGTAATCTTTTTAGCAATCTTTTAAACCTTAGATTTATTGCAAGAAATCTATTTTATATTACCATACTTTTAATGCATACTATTCTAAATTTTTCTTTTATATTTCGTTTAACTAAAAATTGATTTGAAGTTTAACTTCTTACTGATACGGCCATAAAGCATTATGTTAGAGTCAGGTCACAAATCAGACTTTTTACATTTCATTCAATCCACCTTTATACCATAGTTATATTTGTAATTATGTTAATTAATATTATTATTGAAGATGAACATTGATACAAGCTATTTTATCTTCCAGGTCATTAAGATGCTCATCCTCGTTATTGCTCTTTTCATGATATGTTGGGGTCCCCGGCTCATCATGCATGTTGCTATAAAGCATGGTCTTAGCAACTTTACATATCACGTCTATAATTTAAGAGTATCAGCTTATCTACTTTCTTTCGCTCACTCAGCTATTAACCCTATAATATATGGTTTCATGTCCACTAATTTCCGAAGGATGATGCTCCAATGCTGCAAAGATGGTCTGTGTGGAAGGATATCTTGTTCAACCTGTGCAGAAAGGAGAGTGGCTAGAGGGCAACCGCAGAGACGCACGCTTTCGGATTCGTATGAGTTCAGTACGCTTACTAGCAGTACAAGACGCACTCGTTTGGCAAGCTCAGTCAATGTGGATGATTCTAAACTTAAACGTACTGAAGAACAGTGGACAGCTGTGTGAGAAGATGGTTGGAATTGCTAAATTCAACGGAGATAGCTATGGAATCAATACCAGTGTATCTTGTAAAGCTTCCCTTGAATTTATGTTCAGACTGATTGCGCAGAGAATAGCAGAAAAGGTCTAACACGTTTACTATGTTATCTACTTGATTTCGTGGTGCTAAAATGCCATTTCTGTACTGTTTTAAACATTGTCGTTAAAACGTATATTTTGTGTTGAATTCTAAGTGTTTGTAGCATGTTTAAATATTATTGAACTTGGGGCCCAATATGCCCCTAAATAATGAATTCATCTTACAAAATGCCATTTCTAAGTACGAGCCCAGTTATAATATGGTTTATGTAATCCTAGCTTTAGTAAGTATTTTGTGAATGAAGTAAAGGTGTATAGTGACAGGAAAGTTTTGCTGTTGTTCCACTGTTCGTTAAAAGCTCGAGTAAATGCCAGTTTTAATAACCTTAGTGCATGCTTTAAGCAGTCTGAAATAAAAAAGAGACTTTCTGTTATTTACAAGTAACAAAGGCAGCGTAATCTTGCAATAGTTTTAGTTGTGAATTATGAATTGCGATGTGATGAAGTACTAACTCATTTAAGAACAAAATGAGATTTAATTTCATATATACCGCACGATTTCCCGTTGTCTTTTTTATATCTGTTTTGCTCTAAAACCCATCTACAATGGATGAATATAAAAGGAAGAATTTTAAAAATATATCCGTAGTCGCGTGTAATAGAAAACAAGAGCTTAACGCTATGGTTTACTGCCTTTAATACAGATGTCCGAATTTAAATAATATAATTTTATATTTAAGAGGTTTTTTTTTTTTTTTTCTTCAATGGCGGGTGCTTGCCTTTTACGGCACTGGCCACTACTAAGCCAGAAGTGGTGGTCATTTTATTACGGAGGCACCTAATAGGCGGCCACCGCTGAAGGAAGAGACTGACAGTATTTCGTCCATCACTGCTCCGGGATTCGAACCCGTGCCCTTCAGTATCGCAGTCAGGTTTCCTTAACCACTATACCGTCTGGGCGGCTGCTTGAGATTCATTGGCATATTTACTCTTCCGCATTTTATCAAAAGTAAGAATTGAAGAAACATGAGTTTTGCGAGACTTGGCATATTGACTAATTATATCTCTAAAATTCAACTGCCAATTTCAGAGGGGAAAAAAGCTATTATCATTTTGAAGAATTCTGGAAAGGATTCCGGAAATTTGGAGCCAAATTATTAGTTATCTGCACATACATCCTGGAAGTTTTACATGTCCTGTTAAAAATAGCAAAATAACAACTGCTTCTGAACTCGTGTGCTTCTTGATGTAGAAACATAGCGAGAAGTTCAGCATCGTAAAGATAAAACACCACCCTCCACAACTCTGAATGAACGCTAAGAAAATTACTTTACCATGTAATATATATAACACACTTAATACACTGCCTAATTACATTTAAAAAGTCATGGTCAGCACAAAGAAGACTACTGGTCTGCTTTAAAAATGCGTCGGCCTTATCGTTACACAGGTTACTGCTAGAAGACTTCTAGTTGTGGCTAGAGGATTGCAAGAATTGGAGGCTCCCTTCAGCCCACCTGGACACAAGTGTCTCCATAGCTCTAAAGAAGGGGCCCCGTGGCTAGAGGATGTCACCATACCAGTTGTGGCTATAGGAAATAGTGGATTACAGATTGCTGGTTTTCAGCTATCAAAGAAAGGATCCGTAACATTTATCCCCATATTGGTCGTAGCTGGAAACATTCTGGGGGTAATTAGCGACTGTCGCCATACTGATTGTACCTAGAGATTGTCATCATTTGGTCTCATCTTGAGAAACCTGGTTTAGAGCATATCAACGTAAGGATCTGTCACGTTTATCGTCTGCCTGGTCATGGCTAGAGGCCTTCAAGCAATGGCTACATTTTGTCGCCATTCTAGTCGTGGTAAGATTAATATATAGAGATAAGTAAGATTACTACATAGAGCATATCATTAACAAGGATCCATCACTTTTTGTCGCCATATTAATCCTACTATTCAAATACTCCTAATTTCAGTGGAAACTCCAATTCCGTGGATGCTTATTGTACAGACGGGGATCATTTCAGGTAGCTGCGCATGATTTCCTGCGATGCTTGACGTCTACAGCATTCCTGCGTCATGGAAGCTTAGATTTTCATAAATGAATTCGTTTAGCTAACCATGTTAATGCCCTCTTCAACACGTTCCTTACCAGTTATAACATGTGTACAGATTATTGTGTTTGTGAATATTCAGTGACCTCCATTTATTATTATTCAGAACGCTGAAGTGCGTATAGTGTAACACTTTAACGCGTGGATGTTTCTTTTAAAATGAAAGTATTCGTAATATTTTGGAGTTGTAGAAATGTAAGATAACCTAGGCATATTGTGTGTTAATTCATAAATATCTATCTAAACGCAGAGAACGCTAAACAGGAATTTTTAAATTTCACATCGCATTAACTCACTTTTGCATATAATTTCATTTTTTATTACATACTGAATTTTATTTTACAAGAATAATTATATTTGTTCTTACTACATTTAGTCCATTACATGCTTGTTATATAAGAACAATTATATTTTAAAAGAATGTGTATAAAAATATACCTTTGTAGAAAACTAAATTATTATTGCTTAGTAATGTTATACTGATCATAAATGTTTTATACTGTTAAAGTAAGTACCGAATGCTTAAATGCATTTAAACGATACTATGATTTATGATAATGTTGTAAAATAGCATAAATCACGATATTTATATAAAAAGAAGCATTAGATGTGTTAAACAATTTTAATTTGCGGAAGAATAAGCATTTTTTACATTGCGGGTTAATGATCTGAGAATCAAATCTTAATTGCTTTTATTTCTTAAGACTGCATCGGTGTTTGAAACTATGAAGGAAGAAACATACTTTAAAAAACGTCTTCATAAACTAGATTCGGTATAACACAATGCATCATATAGATGTTTAAAAAATGGTAAATAATTGTTTTAGGTTTTCAAATGATATCTGAAATTAATCGATACTTCTGACGCTTAAATTTATTTGCCAGGCTACTTGCTGACCTGTATTAAAATGTCCTGAAAATGTAAATGGTTTTGAATTATTAAGAAAAATAAAATCACTGTGTATCTCTAGATCTTTATTTACTTTCCAATTTTTCAAACATTCTTAAATCATAAAAAATATGCAATTCATAGGTTCAACTGAAATAATTTTAAGTGTAAAATATATTTTTAACTTATATGTATATGAAATATTTATAGAATTACAGAAATAATTTTCAATGATACACTGTTGTTCTTTCAGATTTATTTTAATAACTGCGTCAGACGACCGGGAGTAAACTGACATTTTATTGGTAAGATCACAGCGCGCACAGCAATGTAAACAGTTACAATTAAGGAGAATAAAAGAGATAAGCTAATTTCTCTTTAAGAAGCAATGAAAAATCGCGTATAGGTAAATTCATCCACAGAGCACACTGTGGGTTACGAATGGGTAAGAGAGTAAGACTGAAGTATTGGAATAATATTAAAGATATAAATATATTATATTCGAGTTGATAAATACACTCTAAGACAAAAAACAATTGACGCACCAAGATGGAGTAACGCAAATTGGACGCAAATTGATATGCGTGCAGATTTCGATGGAAATGTGAAATTTTAAAGTTTGGCGGCCAGTGATTGAATATGTTACGAATATATCACATTCCAGTTGAAAATACACTCTAAGACAAAAAACAAATGACGCACCAAGAAGTAATGCAAATTGGACACAAATTGATGTGCATACGGATTTCGTTGAAAAACGCAAAATTTTTAAGTTTGGCAGCCAATGAATGAACAGGTGACGCTGCAGCGCATCTTAACGCACAAGTAGTAGGATTAAAGAGGAAAAATTTTGATTCCAGGTCAAATTCTTTGCGAATTTCATTCCGTGTGCTCAAGTAAACAGTAACTCTGCCTCGCATACTGCTGCACAAACAATATGCGCAGATATCATCATTTGAGAGAGGACGTGTATTTTAGCTCAAAGATGTCGGTTGATCTAATCGGCGAATGTCTTGAGTTTGGATAGGAATGATGCCTCTGTTAGACGATATTGGCAGGAATGGGTGAACCATGGTTGAATACAGCATCAAGAAAGAAGCGTCAGAAGCCCCAGATTCATCATTAGCCATTAAATCTCCTTCTTGGAGTGTCATCATTTTTGTTTTAGAGTTTTATATTAGTCTTAGTTTTAGATTTTTAGTTATCTAAATTCTTTTAACATAACCAAATACAACCGTAATCACTTGAACTCAGGTTCAGTTTAATAAAAACAATTTTAAATTCTTAAAGCTATGTTATAACAAACAGATAAACAGCATAAGTATATGTATCTCAAATGTTCACTTGGACATTTCTTTACGTTCTTTATGTTTACACGAACATTCATAGATCAAAATCTAATACGATGTGAAGTCATTTGAAGGCCATTAAGTATAAAATGAAATATAAAAAATGGTGAGTGAATTTACTGCTCAAATCTTTACTAGAATTATAAAAAAAGCTTTACCTTAAGATTAAACGTAAATTCATCTTAAAAATGTATAAAATTATTTCTACACGCTATTGCTCTGAAGCTGTTATTCTAGTCGATTCCAAAGCAGCCATCCAGGTTTTAGTTATAAATCATGACACAGATACCCAGATTATCTCAGAAATAAGACAAACCTTGAACTTTCTTTATCGAAACAACCATTTTTCAATGGCTCCCTTCACATGTAGGTATCGACGGTAAAGAAAAGGCAGACTCACTAGCCAAGAGAGGAACACTTGTGCCACAAGACAGCAAACTACCTCCTCCAGAGTCACTTAAAAAGCACATTTTTGATAAATTAATGAATACTCTTAAATCTGACCATGCAGCAAAATCAACAGGTAAATCCTGGGCTAACATTCAAGACACATGCAAAACGTTTTGTCAAATACCCCGTAGAGAGGCTGTGGCAAACTTCAGACTGCAAACAGGTCACGATTGCATAGAACATCATCTTAATAAAATTGTCATCCTTCCATGTAGTATATGCCAAATTTGCAATTCAGGCATCATGAAAGGAGAGCATCTTCTTGTTTGCTCAGAACTAAATAGTGAGTCTCAGAAACCTGGTTACATAAGTAAACTATATTGGAATGCCAGAGCTTTCAGGAACTCCTTGTAAAAGACTACATCTCTTAGGTTCCTTTCCCTTTAGCTTAAATTTTTAACTTTTTACTTTTGTTCCCATGTTCATTTATTTTTATTTTATAAATGTTTGTTCTTTTTTATTATATTTCATTGTTCTAATGTGATACGTGAGCTGCTTTATATGTTTGGACTGATCTTTTCAATAAACCCATATGTAACAACACTTCTACACGCTACGAAGTAGTGAGAAGTAATTACAGGGCTTTCATTAATAGTTTCTATAGAATTACCTATAGTCTTCTTGTTAACAAGTTCCATTTCTTTCCGAAATATTGCCCTGAAGAGTAGCAAGCGAGTTCATTGCACTATCCGGCAGGTTTTCTAATTTAAGCGCATTAAGATCGTCCGTTCGCGGCATCCAAAGGCACGGAAGAATCTCAGGCAACAATTCGAGTAAGAGGCCGAAGACGAAACACTACACACAAGTCGACGCTCATCTCGACAAAATTATAAACTGAATCCCTTATCACCGTCAAAAAAGAAATTCTATAAATCAGGCTCTTCTTAAATACCCAAATTTAGTCGATTTTTTTTTCAGGTCGCAATAAGTCCCCACATATCTATATTCTGTGTGCTCCATATTTGCCATCATTTATATTTCGTTCGTCGCTTTCTGGGCCCCTCAAAACATCTACTACCCTTATCAGCCTTTTCCTTCCTTTCATTTCCATTTTATAGCATTTTTCTATTTAACTTTTTAATTAATCATGAATTAAAGCTGACTTCTGATGCACTTCCACTTCTTGACATGATCTTGCATTGGTCGAAGAGCATCTCGCACCACTTTTCCAGACCATTTACCATCATGCAGCAATTTATTATTATATAAGCCACAACGTAGTGAATACTGTAGCTCATTATACAATTTCTTCAGCTGAGCAACTGTGCTTAAATATCCTTGGAAAAGGCCTAAAATGAAAAAGGTGTTTTAAAACATTTTACGTTTCAGTGCAGAATAGCGTCTTACAATTTAACACATTCATACCTTCTCAACTATTGCATTTACATTATTTTTATTATGCTATTCCCTTCTTCCGTGTGTATTAGCAGGATTAATGTTGGAATTGGTATGAATAGTTGGTTCGTTATGCATTTGATTATATCTATACTATTGTTTTTATTGAGGAATTTGATGTAGGGGATACTATGGATGATCTCCAGAACAGCGATTCTCAACTGGTGTTACGCAAAAAAACAAACTATTTTTAACTATTAAATTCAAAAATCTCATGAAGAAAAAGAAACATTGATAGAAATTTCCTGTGATCGAACCCTAATTGAAGATTTCGAAAATAATACACTTATTAACTTTTGGATGAAAAAAAGAATTAAAGGTGTTTCGAATAAAGCTGTTAAATTTTTTATTGCCTTTTTCCACAACCAATTGTGTGAATAAGTATTTTCTTCCCCGTTTTATTTGAAAAATAAATACAGAATACAATTTAAATTGGATCTTAATTAAAGTTAAGTGAAATAAGACTAGACATAAAGAAATTGATCTCTCTTAAACAGACCCAAATTTCACACTAAATTTTAGAATTAAAGTATTATAACTTAAATTTTGGTAATTAAAATTATTTGTTTTTTTTATGTGTGCACATTTAATATAGCCAATAGGTGGTGTAAATGGGAAAATATATTTTGTTTTAATAGTTATATTTAGAAACTGAAAAATAATCATTGTAAGATGTAGTGGTGGTACTACAGTTTTTCAATTTTTGTTTAGATAGTACACATTAGTCAAAAGGTTGAGAACGGCTGCTCTAGAAATCATCTGATATATTATTTCGGCAATAAAATTTGCTTTTCTCTGTCTACGTATGCAACAATAAAGGCCTGGCAAATCACTGTAAAACACCAAGGCGAAAAACAGTAATAAGGGAGCTTAAAAGCCATATTATCAATATAATCACAAGATATAAGATTTATTGGAAGGAATAAATAGTGTGAATGCTGAAGAATTTCAATACGAATTATTTGCACCAGTCCAACTTCGTATGATATTTTCATTTAAATTTTTAAAATTGCACTTACTCGAAGAAGGATTTCTTTTAAAAATTTGTAAAAGGCTATGAAATTAAAATACGAAATTCTGTCTCAATTAATTATCAAAGAATCAATTAATTATCCGCATCAATTACATATAAAAGAGTTTTCTAACACCATACTGTGTTAGAAAATTCCTTGATAATTTTTTTAAAAAAATGCCAAATCCCGTGTGTACCGCATACTAGGATTAAACCTATATTTTGTCTTTCGTGAATGGCAAAACGCTAGCGAGAGCAAAATAAGTGTTTTATTTCCGACAGCAGAAACACAGTGGTTTCAAGTAATTGAGCTGTTGATTAATTTTAAAAGCCAAATACCTTACGCTTTGCGAATCTCAACATTCTTACTCACAGAAGATATTTTATTTCGAACAATGGCAATATATTATTTTTAAATTGATGAGTCAATTAATAAAAAGTTATTAAATTCGTAAAACATTATTAAATAAATAAAAAAAATTCAAAATTAGGTCTTCGAGGAGCGCATATTCAGGTGCAGGACTGTGTGTTCAAATGTTGGTGGCTGTTTGGTTCTGCCTTTATTCTACAATGCGATAAACATGCACTGCTGCCCATTAAAATTTCTACACTACCAAGCTAAGCAAATATCGGAATCATTTTCATTGTATATATAGAATATAACAGGAAGAACACATGCAGGTTTAAACTTGCAGGTGGTTTGGAATAATTGTACCATACAGAATTAGTACACAGAACTGCGACATCCGGCAGCAACAAGGGCTGTAATCCGACTTGGCGCTGAGTCGAACTGAGTTTGGATGACACATACGGGTACTTTTTTGTATGTGGTTTCAACTCTTTGCCAGAGTTTATCAATCATAGAGGCT